TTGAGTGATACACTCACTTGTATCGTGCTTCCGTAGACAACGGATGCACCTGTTCAGAGATTTCAGTCGATCGATTCGACTGGCACGGCCTACATAAACTGTGCATTGATAAATGGTATGTGCTTCTTGACAGAATAAACATTTTGGGGCACTTGTAGCTCCTTTTGTCTTATCTGTCTTAGGAGCTTGGTTTCCTACAGTTCTGTTAACTGTGGGGGATATAGCATAAGAGCCAACATTATTCTGTTTCCACTTTGCAGAAGAGGAGTTTTGTTGCCTTGATTTTTGACTGCCATTCTGGACATTTTTGCTTTTGTCCGTGGATTCACCTTTGGGGATTTTTTCTTGAGATCTAAGTTTTCCTCGGCTTCGTAATCTTTGTACGTAAGCTCGAAGTCCATCAAAGATTTGGCTTTGTGATAAGATGTTGTTACAAGTATGTAAAACTTGTAGGTAAGTAATTACATGCAAGTAGGTGATACAAGCATGTAACACTTGTACTCCTCCAAGGATTTCCTTAAAGGATGAATTGTATCTGTAATAATGTGTATCTACATTATTCATGATGTGATGAAGCATTTTGCTTTTTCTTTTTTTTTTCTCGGCTTTGCCTTTTCTGTTAAGTAAGTCTCTTTGAGATGCTTGATTAATTTCAGATTTTCTGAGGCTGCTTTCACTCCAGTGAAAGCATGAGATTAGGTGATCAAGACTATATTCTTGGATTAAGATAGTTATCTTAGATGGATGATAATATTTGTATTGACATTGTCAATGGGCTGTTAGCCTTTCAGATTGTGATGTGAGATTAAGATTGGTCTTAATCCCCAATTGTAGACTATTGTAGCCAAATGATGATGACATTTGTCTATCACCTGATTTAAATGGTCTGTAGGCTGTAGATTCAAGTGATTTTTTAGACACTTTGTGTCCTTTTCTTTTCTGTTTCAGTTGCTGGTGGAATACTGTTAGTCATTTTGACCTTTTCCGAGTTTTGGAGATTCCGAGATTCGGAGATTCCGAGATTTTTCTCTTTTTTCTGATAAATATGTATGATGTTAATGTATTTTGATAAATGAGCTTTCCTGTCTACTTAGGTAATGATTCCAAAGATCGTCCTTCATTTCCTCCCTGGAATCTGGTTGTAGCAGGTGTTCAATTATCAAAAGTACTGTAATAATTTAATTTGTGACCCGAATGCACGAATGCACCAAGTTGGTAAATCTTGTAATAATTTTTTAAAAATAGTAAATGGCACTATTTTTGCAAAGTTATTACAAAATCTGTTACCATAATAATTGTTAGATAAAATACAGTAGAATGTCTACTGGTTTTACCTGTAATATAGGGTTTGTACAGTTGATTATGGTTAGATTGTAATGAAATGCTCTTACAGTGATGATAACACTTTTTTAAAGAATATTATGTAATGAGCAGCTCTGAAAATCAGTAGATTAGAGATAATGCTAGATAATACACTTAAATATATATGTAATGTTACCACAATGAGGTAGATAATTGATATTTATGATTAAGATGCAGTTGTGTCTGTGACACTGATATAATTAAGTACTGTGGTTTCTTAACACAAAACAATATCAGATTGTTATGAATGCTTACTAGTTAATGGATATGGTGGCTTAAGCCACTGCAAACTATTTGTTTACTTAGATATATAGCTATGATAAATATTGGCTGATAGCTAGGCTAGGCTAGAATATGTAAAAATTATTCCAATGCAAAATCAAGAAGTTTCTTATGTATTTGGCACTGAAATATTCGGTAAACGAATGATCATAAATATCTAGGTATAAAGGACCATTATTATCTAGGTTCGAAGGACCATTAATGTGGGAAAAACCTGCTGGGATTGATATAAGAGGAGACTACCAGGGACTTGTACTGAACTAAATTAAAAATTTACTGTCTGCAAATTAATTCAACTAAAATCTCTAGCTAGGGTTGTAAATCCTAGATCCTCTTTTCCTAATGACAAACTGTGGGCTGTAAGGGACAGGTGGGGTGAATGACTATGTTGATAGAAGTTCCAATCCACCTGTAGACAGGGATCTCACATCAGCTTGTATTTCATACAAGGATAAGATTTGATAAATTCAGTTATCTGACTGAACACTGGCTCTGTTTAAATCAGAGATTTAAACATACATAGTCTAACCTAGTACCATAACTTAACAGCCAATATGTACTTATACTATAAACAACAAATTAAATTGTAAAAGTATAAATAAATGACCTTAAATGGAGTCTTACTGTCAAGTACTAGAAATTATATTCAATTAAATGAACTTATATGATAACTTAAAAATTAACTAAGCAAACAATTGATAACTTAATTTATATATTCAAATATATATGCAGACATATTCAATTTATATGATACAGTTAGCTTGAGTGAATCTCTTCCCACGCTATGGACACTTGTGAGGTTTTTACTTATTGAGGCTGAATTCTTTTCTGACAGAATGGACACTCATGAGGTTCAGTGCTTGGATAAGATTCACAGCTACACTACAATTTTAATAAACTTACTGAAATGTGAGGCTTAGCCTCGCTTTTTAACCAACAGACAGATTTATAGGATATTAAAGTTACACAAGCATACAATTGGCCAATCATACACTAAATAACCTTCAATATACTTCTCTGCCAGTCGGGGTGCCTGTCTGACAAGTTTGCCAGACTGATTAACTCTCTTGTCGAGTTTAGGCACGATATTTTGCTACAGCGTTGCTGTATGATGATCTGGTAGCGTTGCTACGTGATTATCCTGCAGTTGCAGAAGAATGATTCGAGATAAAAGTTTATGAATGAAGGTGGAGGAAACCGTGTCACTGATCTCCACTATACACTCTATTTTATGTGAATGTTCACGGATTTTCCTTGTAGATATTGTCCAGGTACTCCCCCAGTTCTAGAGAGTATTCACTGGCGATAAAAATGTTAGATAAGGTGTCCTTGAGCTGGTAATGTTCGCTAAGGATCAGTCACTTGTTCACTCATTTGTAAACAAACGCGGAGTGCCGCTGGGCTTGTTGGTGGGCGCTTCTCTCCCCCTCATCGCCCTGCCATGCTCTCTGAGCACGGTAGCCTTCAATGAATATTGATTGATTATTTTTTACAGTCTAGACTTATGATTGAAATAAGATGTGATTATAATATAATTAGATATAAGATTTAAAGATTATAAGTAGTATTTGAAAGTACCACTGAATCTTATTAAGGATTCGATTTTTAATCCTACCGGATGTTGAATCAATGTTCCAATAGTTTTTTAATTAAGAAGTCCTTCTAGAAGCTTCTGGATCCTTGAAAGATCATGTACAAAGTCACGTAGGCATCAAAAGGGCCCCTGTTGCGTACGTGTTCATGGTGCCATTGTCATCCAGGATCAAGCTATATAATGAATCTTTAAAGATTCATTATATGATTTTGATACATTTTAGATATGATTTTGATATGATTTAGATATGATATAGAAATTATACATTTCTTAGATGATTATTAGATATGGTGGGTAAAAATTTCCCACAAGGCCCAATTTGCCTAATAAGCCAAGATTTCATGAATTATTTATTTTTCGACTACCTAACCTACCTAACCTAACCTAACCTAACTTTTTCGGCTACATAACCCAACCTAACCTATAGAGATACGTTAGGTTAGGTTAGGTAGGGTTGGTTAGGTTCGGTCATATATCTACGTTAATTTTAACTCCAATGAAAAAAAATTGACCTCATACATAATGAAATGGGTAGCTTTATCATTTCATAAGAAAAAATTTAGAGAAAATATATTAATTCAGGAAAACTTGGCTTATTAGGCAAATCGGGCCATGCATATTAGGCTGAGAAGTGAGTTCTGGCTACTAGGTACGACATATATATATATATATATATATATATATATATATATATATATATATATATATATATATATATATATATATATATATATATCGTACCTAGTAGCCAGAACGCGCTTCTCGGCCTACTATGCAAGGCCCGATTTGCCTAATAGGCGAGTGATTTTCTCAGGCCTCAGGTCTCATGTTTCACGGCCTCAGGCGTTAAACCTGAGGCCTGTAGTGCGTCTCTCACGTATTTCAGGGGAATTTTTCATGTTAATTTTGAACTTTAGCCCTCCTGTAGCTCTGACTGATCCAGTGGATATGTGGTTCCGCAGGTTTATTACTATGTGTCAGACGAACGTCCTCTTCTCTATTTTAAATGTGGCTAGCAAAGCTTGGGATTGTTATCAAGCAACAGAAGAAATAATTCCATTTCTCCCGGGAAATACCCGCGAAGAGCAACTTACCCGCTGGAACCATGGAAGATACTAGGCTATACTTCACAATATATCTGGATATATTTCCGGATATTCCACAACGTTTTTATTTAATAAGATTATTGTTCTGCATACTTCTTTTATGTGTACCCGAGGTAACTTTTCCCTTATGTACCCCAGCTAGCTACCATAATGATTCATAATACGCTAATATTTTTTTACGTATGTGATATTGGAGCTTCTATCTAACAGTCTGGCTCTCAATTAGTCATTATTGATTTTCATTCACGAAAGTTACGGAACAATCTTAAGATCTAATACTGGTATTATTTCTAATTTACATATTTGCCTGTGGCCGATGTTGCTTGAGCAGTGTCGCAGTGTCGTCAGAAACACTTATGAAAATATTTCTCTACTTTGAACACTTTTGATTAGAGGTTGTAACTAAAGAGTAGTGTCATGTAAAGTGGTCACTGAGCAAGTTCTAAAAATGACCGACAACCTGATAAATTCTTGTCTCATGATGGAGTAAATATCAGATATAAAATCTAAATTTCTACCTTTTTATGCTAATATAAATATCTGTCTGATGGACGAAAGTAACCAATGTAGGAAATAATTCAGACTAGTAGAGAACGTTCCACACAGTGTCACCAACCAACTGTGTTTGTCAACTGATCACGAGGACTGAGCCTGACCTGTGGGTCGACGACAAAGTCGTTTTCCGACCAGAAGATACCGACGGGGACGTTGACGCTACTGAGGGAGTAATCTGGTGGCGAGGGCGACCCGTACTCCAGAAGGTTTCTCTCTGGCCCGTAGTCGAAGGCATGAAATCTTCCTGCAATATTATGTTCTTATGTAATATTGTAAGTAATAAGCTTATGTTCTTATTACTTATGTTCTTATAACAAAGGGGGATATTAATAGGGGTATTAAAAGTATCAACACAAGACAGAACACGAAACAATGGGTATAAATTTTATAAGTTTAAATTTAGAAATAAATAAATACTGATAAATTTATTTTATATAGATATATTTACCTAGGTAAATACTGATTCGATAACAGGGTTGTTGATTTGTGGAACCAATTACCGCGTAGCGTGGTGAAGGTGGAGTCCCTTGATTGTTTCAAGCGTGGGTTTGGACATATGAGTGGGATTAGGTAGTTATAAATAGGAGCTGCTTCGTATAGGCCAATAGTCCCTCTGCAGTTACCTTTATTCTTGTTGACCAAATCACACACTAGAAAGTGAAGGGACGACGACGTTTCGGACCGTCCAGGACCATTCTCAAATCGATTGTGAAATTGACCACAATCGACTTGATCGTGTGGTTTGGTCAACATATTTCAGCCACGTTATTGTGACTCCTCGCCTGCACCTTTATTCTTATGTTCTTATTATAGTCAGTTGTTGACACTTAGCATTGAGGCTAACGGGGTTATGACATGGTCGATGATGTGCAACGTTATACCTGATTGGCCGAATCATGTGACAGTGGATGTGCTTGGTAAGAAAAACATACATTAAGTGTGGTATATAGGAATATTTAACAAATGTTGGTGTATCTTGTTGTGTATAAGTTCCTGTGAGGCGCTCTTATATGTTTACTTCTGTGGGTAGTAAATATCACTAATGTCGTTCCATTATATATTATTTCGTACCCATGTGGCAAATTGCGCAAATAAATAAAAAATTAAGACTATGTTCACAATGAACTGTATCTTGACGCTTTTAAAATGACAAACTGCATAATTTAATTATGTTGGCAACTAAAAAGAGTGGCTGGTTTAGTGCGTGCAGGTGAAGTGCGGTGACTACTGACCTGAGTGGTGGACCTGCAGCAGTTGAGTCACTATGTGAAGACCAGTCCCGGCCGGCCAGTGGGAGAAGATCACAGGCATATACTCCTGGAGAATACTCAAGAGGGTGACAACAGGAAGATCACAGGTATATACTCCTGGAGAATACTCAAGAGGGTGACAACAGGAAGATCACAGGTATATACTCCTGGAGAATACTCAAGAGGGTGACAACAGGAAGATCACAGGTATATACTTCAGGGGAATACTCAGAGGGTGGCAACGGTAAGATCACAGACCCCGAAGGTGGATAAGTTACAAAATAAAAGAAACTTAAGTTACTGTAATATCCGCAAATGTTAACGTGTTTTAACCTATTTCATTTTGTTTTAACGTATGATAACATTAAGACTAATTATTATGAGTGATCGTTGGTTTTATAGCAAAATGTCTGGTCGGACTTCTATAGATGTGAACAGAACGCGCTTAACTAATCTTGGAGATAAGCTGTCTGAGAGCATTAGTACACCAAGAACTTCAACAAAATCTTGTAGATCTGAGGCAAAGTGAAATCGACACCAGTAATTCCATCTATCATCATACTATCATGCAAGAGGGGCCACACATCTATGGTTCATCTAATAAAATCAGCAGACTTCTAGATGTTACTACTGCTCGGCTTAGACTCGGTTACAAGTATCTCTGGGAATTCTCATTATCTGCTGATGTAGATCTGACCAAATGTAAACTGTGTCAACAAAATTATTCGCACACCCTCCGTCACTATGTGGTGGAGTGCGAAAAGATACGTGAATTTAGAGACATTTCCTTAACCAATGTTCCAATAATGTGTAAATATTTAATTCAAAATGATCTCCTACCAGAAATTGTAGCCAAATATCCCCAGTTTGCTAACTGTAGGTAATAACTAAGTAATTGTAACCTATCCACGGCTGCCCACTGGATGGGGGGCGGTGTGCAGGACAAACATATCAATTTTGACACTAGCTCTCCACATATGTCAGTTGCTTAATTTAGAAACTGTATTTATTGAGAACACAAAAACAGTACTAGATTAAATTGGGAAGAATAAGATAGTCCCTTCTTTCAGCTTATCACTCATAAAAAACATTCAATCTCCACAATACAAATATTTATACCACTAGCTCATCAAGATTGTAACTTGCTTAGCTAAATTAATGGTGGAGTTCAGTCCCTGAGCCCAATATGTGCCTCTGTAACCTTTCCCACTACCACCCACAGGATGGGTATGAGGTGCATAATAAATGAACTAAAAATAAACTATAACATATAAACAAATAAAATATCAAATGAACAAGTAAAAAAAATATAAATGCTAATTGTATACAAGGGAGAGACGAATGGGAAGGAACCACTCACTCTATCCAGGTAGAAACCGTTTGATCCACCAGCAACGGTGAAATATATGAAAACACACAGGAAGTTGGCGACGGCTCCATCTGCACACACTGACGAGCTCGTGTCAACTCTTTTGGGCGTCAGCGGTAGCAACTCGAGGTGCCTCGTGCGTGACAGTTGGTCCTGCAACATTATGGCAGCGGTTAGTGTGGTGGCCCCCAACTGCCACAATCAATCAATCTTAATCAATCACAATCTTAATCAATCAATCAACGATTAAGGGTTACTCATTTTCAAGAACAAGATGATGCGAGGTGAACCAACAACCCGTCCTCTTAAAAATAACGTCACTTTTAGCTCGTATGCTCACTATGGCCAAATTCGGACGAAATTTGAAATGAAATCGACTCACAAAAGTGACGTTCTGTTCCGTTTTCTGTTTGAGTCGTCCGGCGTACGCGCAGAGTTTTTTTTTTTTTTTTTTTTTTTTTTTGTGATATATACAAGAGTTGTTACATTCTTGTACAGCCACTAGTACGCGTAGCGTTTCGGGCAGGTCCCTGGAATACGATCCCCTGCCGCGAAGAATCGTTTTTTCATTCATTAAGTACACATTTTACTGTTGCGTTAAACAGAGGCTACAGTTAAGGAATTGCGCCCAGTAAATCCTCCCCGGCCAGGATACGAACCCATGACATAGCGCTCGCGGAACGCCAGGCGAGTGTCTTACCACTACACCACGGAAACTGTACATAGGTTATAAGAAAGGTTATAAGAGGACACTTTAAATTAACGTTTTTCATAACGTTTTGAAACTTTATGAGAATTTCCTGCCCACCTAACCTATCAGAGGACCCTTAACTTACTGTTGTTGAAAAAAAAAATCCCAAATTTATTTTCAATTTTTTTTCATTTTCAAATTACGTCTAAATTCGGCCATACGGGCAAACGGCCAAAAGCGACGTTCTTTTTAAGAGGACAGGTTACCAATGCTTATATATATTTAGTTCCCATATGTGACTTAAGTGCTCGTGTTCCCCCGTATCAGGTGTGTAATCCTGAAGATATCGAGTTCTTGACAAAACGTTGTAGTTACGTTGTGTGTGGTTCAGGGTAGTAGGTACGATACATACATCATTACATACATACATACATACATACATACATACATACATACATACATACATACATACATACATACATACATACATACATACATACATACATACATAAACAAAATTTTGCAGCTTACATCAATCAAATTCGCAAATGGTGACACCACACTCATGGGGACAGGTCTGCCTGTTATGTAGGCGGCGGGCGCCAAGGCGGCCATCACACGCACCTGTGGAAGAGACAAGCTATTAGTGAGAGACGCCACTATCACCTGGGTGCCTTTGTCTGTGTGTTTAGTCACCTTGGTGTGTGTTTGTGTGTGCTGACTCACCTAATTGCATTTGTTTATGTTTAGCTACCTAATTGTATTTGTGTGCCTAGTGGCATAGATGTGTTTGTGCGCACATTAATCCCCTAATTGAAATTGTAGAGTAGGATTACAGCTGCTGTGTGAGCGTCTTTAAATCATGTATCATAGCATATTTGTGTTCTGGGTTCTGCCAGACTTAACTACACTTCATCATTGGTAAGTTGAGCTCCTCTAATTAATAACGAGATATTGGAGACTTTACATAATACAATAACCGCAATTTCTGTACAGCATCGTAAATAATATAATATAATAATTCATTATGTCGGGGGACAGGCAGCCAGAGTGTATTCATACACGTTAGGCTTATATCTAAGTCCCCCCCCCCCAAAAAAGTCGAATTACTGACCCCGCCCAGGATGGAACCCCACAAGCTGACTAACTCCTAAGTACCTACTTACTGCTAGGTGAAGAGATGCATTAAGAGAGAGGAAATGCACTCAGCTATTTTTGTCCCACCCGGGATTCGAACGTAGAATTATCGAATATGCGTCGAGAACGAACCCGACTGTACTACCGGCACCCTATAGATGAAATGTTCTTAGTGCAAAGATTCCAATATTTTTTCATTTTTTTATTTGGGGCAAGATGAAACGATCAAGATATAAGAGGCGGCAGCGTACCCACCCAGGAGTTGATGTGTGGGTGGTAGTCCAGCGTAGCAAAGAAAATGGCGGCGCCCAGAGAGTGACCGACGTAGTAGACCTGAGGAGCACCCGTCGCCTTGCGCACGTAGCTCAACATGGCCGGCACGTCGTAGCGCGCTATCTCGTTCCAGCTCCACCACCATATTAACAATAACAATATTAATTGTTGCTGCGGAAAAACTGCCACTCTCCGTAGCTTAGAAACTAGTTATTCCATATTTTTACGTATTTATATATATATTCCATATTGTCCACAGTAGTGCTTTTAACTCTGCCACCTACCTGTAGTCCCAGAACTCTGCCACCTACCTGCAGTCCCAGAACTCTGCCACCTACCTGTAGTCCCAGAACTCTGTCACCTACCTGTAGTCCCAGAACTCTGCCACCTACCTGTAGTCCCAGAACTCTGCCACCTCCTGTAGTCCCAGAACTCTGCCACCTACCTGTGGTCCCAGAACCCTACCACCTACCTGTAGTCCCAGAACTCTGCCACCTCCTGTAGTCCCAGAACTCTGCCACCTACCTGTAGTCCCAGAACTCTGCCACCTCCTGTAGTCCCAGAACTCTGCTACCTACCTGTAGTCTCAGAACTCTGCCACCTACCTGTAGTCCCAGAACTCTGCCACCTACCTGTAGTCCCAGAACTCTGCTACCTACCTGTAGTCTCAGAACTCTGCCACCTACCTGTAGTCTCAGAACTCTGCCACCTACCTGTAGTCCCAGAACTCTGCCACCTACCTGTAGTCCCAGAACTCTGCCACCTACCTGTAGTCCCAGAACTCTGCCACCTACCTGTAGTCCCAGAACTCTGCCACCTACCTGTAGTCCCAGAACTCTGCCACCTACCTGTAGTCCCAGAACTCTGCCACCTACCTGTAGTCCCAGAACTCTGCTACCTACCTGTAGTCTCAGAACTCTGCCACCTACCTGTAGTCCCAGAACTCTGCCACCTACCTGTAGTCCCAGAACTCTGCCACCTACCTGTAGTCCCAGAACTCTGCTACCTACCTGTAGTCTCAGAACTCTGCCACCTACCTGTAGTCCCAGAACTCTGCCACCTACCTGTAGTCTCAGAACTCTGCCACCTACCTGTAGTCTCAGAACTCTGCCACCTACCTGTAGTCTCAGAACTCTGCCACCTACCTGTAGTCTCAGAACTCTGCCACCTACCTGTAGTCCCAGAACTCTGCCACCTACCTGTAGTCCCAGAACTCTGCTACCTACCTGTAGTCCCAGAACTCTGCCACCTACCTGTAGTCTCAGAACTCTGCTACCTACCTGTAGTCCCAGAACTCTGCTACCTACCTGTAGTCCCAGAACTCTGCCACCTACCTGTAGTCCCAGAACTCTGCCACCTACCTGTAGTCTCAGAACTCTGCTACCTACCTGTAGTCCCAGAACTCTGCCACCTACCTGTAGTCTCAGAACTCTGCCACCTACCTGTAGTCCCAGAACTCTGCTACCTACCTGTAGTCCCAGAACTCTGCCACCTACCTGTAGTCCCAGAACTCTGCCACCTACCTGTTGTCCCAGAACTCTGCTACCTACCTGTAGTCCCAGAACTCTGCCACCTACCTGTAGTCCCAGAACTCTGCTACCTACCTGTAGTCTCAGAACTCTACCACCTACCTGTAGTCCCAGAACTCTGCCACCTACCTGTAGTCCCAGAACTCTGCCACCTACCTGTAGTCCCAGAACTCTACCACCTACCTGTAGTCCCAGAACTCTGCCACCTACCTGTAGTCCCAGAACTCTGCCACCTACCTGTAGTCCCAGAACCCTACCACCTACCTGTAGTCCCAGAACTCTGCCACCTACCTGTAGTCCCAGAACTCTGGCTGGTCAGGTGAGAGGGTGACGTGGCGACGGCCGTAGAAGTTTCCTCTGGTGTTGCCGATCCAAACGTCGTATCCCTCGTCGGCTAATATGAACCCTAAAGGATGAAGAGTAATTATTATTAATGAAATTATAGTATCAATGTTATTTAGAAAAGTGGCAACTTATTTGAAATATAATATTACATAGGTTTAACATACCTAATGCCTGGTCGGGATCATTCATCACGAAGTCTGCGCTCGACGAGAAGACGCCGTGGAGGAGGAAGGCCACACGACGAGGCTTGTTCCTCTTGTTCCTCCCGCCGCCGCTGGTCCTCGATGCTGCTGAGTTGAGAAATGAAGGAGACACTCATTGCTGCTAATTTTAAGAGTTTGTTTAATTCATTGATTGAGCACCAGAAGCGCACAGCATGACATCACACTTGGCCGTCTGTAGCCAGAGAATACGGCTTGTTATTACAGTCTGCATTTTAGTAAGTTAGTGTTACATTATTACCTTATGAAGAGCATAAGATAACAATTTTATTTAACAGATCGTAAAATACTAAAACTTGTTGTGTTATTAATTAGAGTGGAGATGATGGACTGCTGGCAGCGAGGGACCAAGTGAGATGTGCATTACAGCACTCGGCTTTGTATCTGACATAATGTGGTGGAGGGGGTTTATCACACTACTCACCTCCTGGTGAGTGTAGAGTCGCACGCTTCACCACGTCTCCCAGAGGGTGTAGAGTGTTTTGGGAAATGTTAGGGAAGGCGTGAGGGTAGAGGAAGGGGTCCCTGAAGGAAGTGAAGGGGTTCAGTGTAGCATGCAGTGCGGCAGCGTCCGCGATGCGGCCATACGGTATGCGGTGCATCTCCAGGATGTATCCGTCTTCTGTGATGAGGTGGTGAGTCTCTGCTGTGTACCCGCGGACCTTCATCAGCTCCGGCTGCCGGTACACCACACGTCAGTACATGTCGCTGCCCACACCGTATAACAAAGCCACACACGACTACAGTAATACAGGTCAAGTCGTTACACAAAGGGAAGGGCTTGTTTCATCGTATTTTAGTCATGTACTATAATGGAGTGGATGAGGTATGTCACCCACTAGGCAGGCGGTCCTCCTTGCCAGATTAGTGGACGATTGTTCATGGCATGTGAAGCCCATCTATTACTCGAGGAAGCAGACTGTATCTAATGTCGTTAATTATGTCATAAGACGCACATACAGGTAATTGTTGCGATACTATTGGTTTTGTTGAAGAATTTCTCTCCTCCCAATATAGTGTTCATTTTGTTGAAAGTACTGACTCTGTGCGTCATTAAATGAGAGTACGGTCCTGCCGTACTGTTGAGTCTCTTGTGACGAGAGAGTCACAAGAGTCTCTAAACCTGTTGAGTCTCTAAATGCACTGTAGTTGCCATATATTTGTCTCCACCATTCATATTCTCTTACCATTTCGACTGATGGCTCGAAATATGTGGTTGGTTAGGGATTCTCCATTATTACATATATGTTACCTCTCTTATCTCTCTAAAAAAAATATTATTTTTACAAACTATGCAGTCATAGATGTTCTTAACAAGATATTATTATCAAAACAAACTTTGTTATAACAGAAAACGTTACAATCGCCTTAATGCCACTCAAATCTTTTAACTTCGATCAATCCATATAAATTCTATAAATCTATAGATCTATAAACTCATCAATATTTGTATCACCCCTTGTATGTATGTATGTACCTTACCTGAATAAACATTTGAATTTATAGAAATGCAATTATTGTTGTATCTTATATTTAATCAAATACAAACAAGTGTAGTTTTGTTAGCCAGCCTTCTTGACACAAACTTGAATAAAATGGACAATGAATCAGTAAAATCTGCCATTCAGACGTGCCGCATTTTCAAAACATATGCATATGAGAGTCATTATATAAAAGAAGGCACACACCGTCTGTGTGACAGAACAATAGTTAGCACCGTCTGTGTGACAGAACAATAGTTAGCACCGTCTGTGTGACAGAACACTACCAATTCCGAGACACCATTGAGGGTGTTAAGATGAGAGCAACAACACGTGTGACCAGTCATGTCAAACGTATCAGGTCCACACAAATCATATCGACGACATACAAATCAAAGGATTCTTGGTTAAGTCAAAATAAAGGTACACACACAATTAAACAAAACATGAAAAAAAGAAACTGACGAAAAGCGAAGGTCTTTTCCTTGCCAAACTTAGTTTGTTTAGTAACAGAATTGTCTTGGCAAGCCTTGTAACACCGGAATTATAGGTCCGGTTATTTATTTGGGAAAACAAGAATTGGCATTCCATGGGCATCGCGAGTGCCAAGGGTCAAGTTCCTCAATTACAACTGAAGGCAATTGTTGGAGCTTATTAATGTATTTGCCAAATTTTATACATTACTAGAGCAATATTTATTGCCGAGTGGTCAACATGCAACATATCTCAGCCCTGACAGGCAAAATGATCTGATAATAATTATCAGTACAGGATCTATCGAAGATAATAGCTGACATCAATTTGGCTCAGTACTTTGCAATGATTGTTGACTCTCGTATTTATATCAGCACCACTGATCAATTTTATCTTTGCAATATGTAACAGTAAATGATGATACAATTAAACGATTTATACAATTCAGCGAATAAACTGCAGCAAAGGCTGAAGATTTTTGTTAACAATCTTCCTGACGTAATCAAAATCTTATGGCCGTCAGTAGCTGTGTTTCACGGCCCGTCTTACAGTGGAGCAACACCATGTCGGAAGCCTTGTCTGCTCTCCCAAGATTAGGGAAGTTGCTCCAAATGGCAGTCTTGACGCACTGCTGTCCACACAATATTAATTTGGTTCTAATTGATGCCATAAGCTCCAATATTCAAGTCAAGTTAATTTTTTGTGGGAACTCTTAAAAAGTTGACCTCGTCTTTCGGTACTAAAGAGTCTAGATGGGCGTCCAGAAAACCAGGGGCAGAGGCAGTCTTCTACAAGTTATCAGCACTAGTAGTTGCTCCACAAAGAGTATTGAGATAAATATTGTACACCTAAGCAGCTTAGGTGTCCTAGTAAGACACCACTGTGCGTTCTAACCAGGTACTGGTGTATGGTGTCCTAGTAAGACACCACTGTGCGTTCTAACCAGGTACTGGTGTATGGTGTCCTAGTAAGACACCACCGTGCGTTCTAACCAGGTACTGGTGTATGGTGTCCTAGTAAGACACCACCGTGCGTTCTAACCAGGTACTGGTGTATGGTGTCCTAGTAAGACACCGCCGTGCGTTCTAACCAGGTACTGGTGTATGGTGTCCTAGTAAGACACCACCGTGCGTTCTAACCAGGTACTGGTGTATGGTGTCCTAGTAAGACACCACCGTGCGTTCTAACCAGGTACTGGTGTATGGTGTCCTAGTACGGCGTCGTCTTATATTAGTCAATCACATTTCATAGTACAAAATTTAGAAGTAAATTTATGTGATTTTAATTGTTGTACTTATGAAAAAACAAATAAAACAAGTAACTGTCTCATAGTCTTAAGTCCATAAAACCATGCAAATTGTTTAGGCATCAAGCTGGCGACCAAAACAGTCACTAAAACAATTTAAACATCAGCAATAGTTGTTAGCAGTAAATGAATTACTAATAATAAATTCAATAAATTTTAATTAGGCTTCCTAATAATTGTGTAGATGAAAGCAAGCTCCACATTGCTACAGATAAACGTAAATTCAAAGAGACTATTATACACTGCAACAACCAAGTGACACTAAAAAAATAGCTTGGATGGATCTTGGCATTGTCTTACTGTTGTGAGGCGAGTGTGTGGGTGTTCCTCAGTGTGGTGGAGACTGCCGGGACCTGTGGAGGACTCGGGCCCTGTCGTCGCCGTCGCCGCCGCCGCCGCCAGTACCAGCAGCAGGTGTGGAGAGCGTCCAGTCATGGTGGCACTGACAGGTACTCTGCAGGTACGGATAGGTATTGACAGGTACTCTCTCACCGGCGACTATGGTCAGTAAGGATGTAAATACAGACTGAATGTGGACTGTGGGATATGGTTTATTAGTGAAGAATTAGGCAAGACAAATTAAGGGGATCTAAAACACTGCTCGAGTTAAATCTAAAAATATAAGAAGCAGCTAAGACATATGCCAATAATAAAATATTGCTCGTTAACTGCATGTAGATCAGAAATTGTAGATGTGGCACGCGGAAAATATAGGTCGAACTATTTCTCCACCCTCTCCATAACAACTCGTTCTGCGGAGGGGTTCCCAACGCCAAGAAACTGTCGTTCTAAAGTGCCTTACCCTAACCTACCAGTGGATGCGAACAGAAAACGTGACATTATGTCAATTTCGCGAGCCGCTACCATTTTTTTGTTCGCTAGTTCTGTACGATAACCTTAAGTAAAGTATGTCAGAATGCAACGTGGTATTAGACGAGCAATAGAGGTACTGGACGGCACACCTCGCTTAGGGGACATGTGTCTATGACATAACAACACCTCACATGTAGTGTGACTTGAAACATCGTATTGTACAAGCCTAGCGTACACGTTTTCTACGTGTGTGTGACACCAAGTGGCGCACTCAGGGGATGTTGTTGTTGTTTAAGATTCAGCTACTGGGAACAAAAAATTCCAAGTAGCACGGGCTGTGGTAAGCTCGTAGTGGACTTACTTGGCACAGGAGCGGGGCTGTAACTTGCTCAGGGGATCATCGGGATGTTATTATATATGGCCCGTCTTCCTCGCCCCGAGGGACAGATACAGAGAGAAACATTGTCCACCTGTCAACACACTCTTGCCTCCCACATTATTCACCTCTCTACTACAATCATGCTTTCTGTTTTCCAGTCAGAGAAAACGTTTTCAGCTTTTTATAATAATACACACACACACACACACACACACACACACACACACACACACACACACACACACACACACACACACACACACACACACGTGCGCGCCCAGGCACGTTCGTGTTTTCTCTCTCTCTCTGTCTCTCTCTCTCTCTCTCTCTCTCTCTCTCTCTCTCTCTCTCTCTCTCTCTCTCTCTCTCTCTCTCTCTCTCTCTCTCTCTCTCTCTCTCTCTCTCTCTCTCTCTCTCTCTCTCTCTCTCTCTCCTCTCTCTCTCTCTCTCTCTCCTCTCTCTCTCTCTCTCTGTCTGTGTGTGTGTGTGTGTGTGTGTGTGTGTGTGTGTGTGTATATATATATATATATATATATATATATATATATATATATATATATATATATATATATATATATATATATATATATATATATATATATATATATAAGTAGCCTAACACTAACTATATGCACAGAAATGATTAAATGTAGATAAAGAGAGAGCCGGGTTTGGGTCAGGTCTCTGACCTCACCACCCACACATACAGGTAGGCGCTGACCACCTATACACATTCATCTCCATGTATGCGTGTATTCTTACGCATTACCACTCGCGCATGACAGACGCAGCGAGAACAGTGAAGTAACTCACCTGTGCGGTGGAGCAGCAGGTAAAGCAGGCAGCTATAAACAAGAGATGACCGACGCCCTTGCTGAGCTCACTCGCACTGCCCGGCTACCTCCATGTCACTGCCAACATCAAATCAATATTCACTTCTTGTCCACATTTCTTATGTGTAGTTCAAAGCCTCAAAGAAAATGAAAGTAAAACTGAACCTGGTATTATCTGCAGAATTAGCCACGTTGCTGGCACAGTGACCTGTATTTACCCCCACTCTGCTGCCTGTAATGACCTGTATTCACCCCCACTCTGCTGCCTGTACTGACCTGTATTCACCCCAACTCTGCTTTCTGCACTGACCTGTATTCACCCCCACTCTGCTGCCTGTACTGACCTGTATTCACCCGCACTCTGCTGCCTGCACTGACCTGTATTCACCCCCACTCTGCTGCCTGTACTGACCTGTATTCACCCCCACTCTGCTGCCTGTACTGACCTGTATTCACCCCCACTCTGCTGCCTGTACTGACCTGTATTCACCCCCACTCTGCTGCCTGTACTGACCTGTATTCACCCCAACTCTGCTGCCTGCACTGACCTGTATTCACCCCCACTCTGCTGCCTGTACTGACCTGTATTCACCCCCACTCTGCTGCCTGTACTGACCTGTATTCACCCCAACTCTGCTGCCTGTACTGACCTGTATTCACCCCCACTCTGCTGCCTGCACTGACCTGTATTCACCCCCACTCTGCTGCCTGCACTGACCTGTATTCACCCCCACTCTGCTGCCTCCATACCTGACCCATGCTCACCCTCACCTTGCTCCCTCCATACTGACCCATGCTCACCCTCACCTTGCTCCCTCCATACTGACCCATGCTCACCCTCACCTTGCTGCCTCCATACTGACCCATGCTCACCCTCACCTTGCTGCCTCCATACTGACCCATGCTCACCCTCACCTTGCTCCCTCCATACTGACCCATGCCCACCCTCACCTTGCTGCCTCCATACTGACCCCATCTCACTCCATGCACGATAATCACCACACATCTTCCCCTGCATCTGCCCAACCCCTTGGACTGGACGGGAGAGCGTTGGTCTCGCTTCTTCCAGGTCGGCGTTCAATCCCTGACCGTCCAAGTGGTTGGGCACCATTCCTTCCCCCCGTCCCATCCCAAATCCTTATCCTGACTCCTTCCAAGTGCTATATAGTCGTAATGGCTTGGCGCTTTCCCCTGATAATACCCTTACCCTTCCCCCCCCCCTGCATCTTCACCCCCATCTCGTCCCCTACACACACTGACCTATACTCATCCCACCTCGCTCCTTGAACACTGATCATTACTCACCCTACCAACTTTAACTCATGAGGTAGTAAGACACACACACAAAGATCAATTGTCTTGCAAGTTTACTACTGGGAGTAGTATAGTGGAAGTGAAAGGCACAGGTGCCTGGCAGGTTCACTTCTAGTCACTTACGTAAGTTGTCTTTCATAAGACATACCAAGAAATTTGGACATACCAAGGCAGTTTGTACTTCCGTAGTAAATGTCATTTTCTAAATGCTTATGTCTCCCAGGTGTAGTATGATTATTATTCCCCCCCTCCCCAGACTTACCATTGTCCTTTGCCTAGACAGCTTAGGGAAGATGTCTTGAAGGGTAGTTGAAGGCTGTCGATTCCTTATTTGCTGCTGTAGCAGCTTGTCACAGCTCTAGATAAAAAGTCGGTAGCCTCCGTGTAATAATAAAGACATCTTCCCTAAGGTGTCTTACACAAATCGAGGCAGTTAGGGGAAAATGCGATGCAAAGTTTGGGGAGAATAATAGTAGTAGTAGGCATCCTTCAGTCTAAAGACTATGGAGTTGCGCCTTGACAGGGCGCAAAGCCTGGGTAGGTAGATATGGAAGAGAAGCTGTTACCCATGCAGCAGGTCCTCCCTCTCCACGTTGCTGAAATTATCCAATAGAAAGGCAAATGCCAATACACATAGTTCCAGCAATGGAGAATAATAGTCATTTTCTATACCTTAGAGGCCTTTAGAGGTTACAGGAAGCCGTAACTGCTAAATCTGTGCTGAATTTCAAAATATACCTGGGAAAGATCAAGGCAAATGGGGGGGGGGGGACCTCCAACAAGCCGCCGGCTTCCGTGTTCTCGTTTCCCTCGGGTAAATAAACACTTGGAAAATCGTACTTACTACCTATGAAGCAAAATGTATTACACAGTGTAATAAAAAATCTCTCAAAAAATTGCCCAACCTCAGACAGTAAAATGTGTGAGTGTTTGCCTGACTTGCTTATTATTATATTATTTTAACGATAACTATTTCTTGTGACGCACACAAAAGTGATGTAAAATACCACATTAAACTATATACTATTAAATTGTTTTCAGAGTATTGAGTAGATTAGAATGTGGAGAGACGGTAGCCGAGAGTGCTGAACATTACTCCCTCGACGGTTAAGTGTTACGTCAGGTGTAACAGTGAAGCAATTCATACGCACTCTTTGTTAACGCTATAATACCATGACAGGCGAAACGCCTTTTACAGCCGTCTTCCCTCACTTTGGTGTTCTGTATATCAGACTTGGATGTGGTTTGGGGCTGGATATAAGGTCCATCAACTTCTGCAGGGTGATCATGGCCACCACCTGTGTGATAATTAACACGAGAAAAAACTCGCTATTTTAGGCAAAATGAAGATATATATCCAATGTGTTTAACAACAACAACAACAACAACTTCTGCGGTGTTGAAATTGGTTGAAATCTTATTCGGACTGTTCACTGTGTTAGATGTGCAGTAGTTTGTCTGGCATTTCTCCACAATGCGGACATTTCCTCTCTCATCTTCTGGAAGCCTATTTCCCATACACATCGGTATAAAAGCCATAAACGATGTAAGTGCACTTCTGCTTATTATTGTTCTCTTTCATCAAAATGTGTGATTCGTGGTTGGTTGAATTCTTGTACCAATCTGCTGATCCTGATGTTGCAGCTGCTGTGTTGCGGTCACTGTTCATTGTCTGCATTTCTCTATTTCTAATAATTTGCTTTTAATCTGTGCTAGACTCTGTGCTGGTATGTAAACGGACGTGAGTGAGTGAGTGAGTGAGCATGGGCGCGTGCCATACAGCAGACGCTTAGAATGCTTGACATCCTTCATCTGCACAAGGGAGGAAGTAATGGCAAAACACTGCTCACCGGTCGCACTAACATCACACATCATTAAGGTTGTTGATAGGATGATAAGAAGACAACTTACCGATTTTTATGGATAAGACTGAGGTATGGTCCACACGATTTAAGAGCAGGCATTAGCACAAACTAAAATATGGTTTGCTGTATATCCAGATTTTGCCAAGCCTTTGATAAAAGCTATAATGGAGTGATAGCCCATAAAATAGAACAGTGAGGCGTTTATTATCGTCAACCCACGCCAGAAGGTAAACAATGACGCGCCATTGTGATGCGTCTCTGAGCAGGCCACTCGTGCAATCATTGAGGGAAGTAACTTTCACGCACACTGCACGCACTGTGGGAGGTGGGGTGTTCGCAGCGCGTGACAGTACTTTGCGGCGGAGGGCGTGACAAGAGATTATAATGAAAGTTCAATATATAACATTTAAAAATATTCTTGATAAAGCCTAGGAACGATAAAACGAAATGGCTTAGGTTAGTGAAGGGAGAGCAGCCCCTTCTCGTCAATAAAGGTAGAAGCAGCCCCTTCTCCGTCAGTTGAAGCTAACACGTTAAATTCGGTTACGTCTGAGTTAAGAATTCTGTATACCGCTTCCACCGTTAAGTTTGCGTCTAAACCCTTGATAATTAAACTGGAAAAATATGTACTCTCCATAAGTACCACTAGTTGTGATAACTTTTGAGTATGGTAGCCTCTGGTGGTAGTAAATTGGTGTAGCACCATCTCTCGTTTGGTCTGCTATTGTGGACAGCTGAATTATTAGGAATGTAAAATAGTTGGGTTGAGTCATCTTTCAACCAAGTTTCTGTTAATATAACTAATGGGAATTTGTTTATTGCTTGTGGTAAGGCACTAACATCATAGTGTTTGTTTAGAGACCCCATATTTAAGTTAATTAAATATACATTACAGTGATTTGCCAATATATTCTTGGCAAGGTTTGCTGTTTAATACTTGCACTTATGACCATTAAAGTGAGGCTTGCCATTGATACTTGCTAGGAGGTTTAATCCAGAGTATATGCTTGATTGCACTCAGAGCACTCAATGGAGCGAGATAACTCGCTGCTAAAAGTAGACTAATTAAAAAATAAGAGTAGAACAGAAACGATACTATTTTTATACTAAAAGTCACATTTGGATTGGAATGCCATTGATGCACTCTCGAAGAAAAGCTGAACAATCTGCGAAGGATGGTAGAAAGAGTAAAGGTGTTTTGGATGCACACGATGGCCTGTGCCTCCTCACAAGGTGCCTGACATTGACCAGGCTAACCCATTTCCTAAGGTGTGCTACCTCTTGCGATAGCCCAAATTAAGAGTATGACAAACTCCTTAAAACAATATTTATGAAAGTGTTAACTCTCTCTGAAAGATGACTAATGGGACCAGCAACGCTCCCAGCTAGACTCAGTTGTATAGATATACACAATGCAACACGTAGCATTGCCTGCATTCTTATCCTCAACCGGTGCTATAAGTGAATTAATGCCATATCCTACCAGAGTACCAAAGTAACTCCATTGGAATTTATTATCCCAAATTCACTAAAGGAGCCGACCATAGTGACACACTTGCAAGCTTTTCACCGCGACCATCTTTTTCAAACGACTGCAAACAGGCCAAATGGCCTACTCACCTTCGTTGTACATCACTCTGCATACCACCTGTCTGCATGTCTGGAAAGCACCCCCAGTCACCCTCCACCCAGACCCTAGCCCTAGGCAGATGCAAGACCCAGATCTGCCGGCTCATGGTTACTTGTGGGTAACAAGCAGTTTCGCTGCTGGATTGTAGTTCCAAGCCTCGACAAAGGTTCCGACAAAGGATGTGACGTCACCAGCAGGGGTATAAGCACCCTTGACCTCGCTCACCACGGTGGTCTCATAAGGTGTTCATGGTTCAAGATTAC